TTAGAGGAAGGAAGGACATGCTGTGTTGTGTAGAGTGAGGAAAAGACGTGAAGTGATGTGTAGGAGGAGGGAAGGACCTGCACGGTTGTGTAGGACGAGAGGGAAGGACTTCTAGTATTGTGTAGGAGTGAGGAAGGACTTGCAGTTTTGTGTAGGAGTGAGGGAAGGACTTGCAGTGTTGTGTAGGAGTGAGGGAAGGACTTGCAGTGTTGTGCAGGAGGAGGGAAGGACTTGCAGGGTTGTGCAGGAGTGAGGGAAGGACTTGCAGGGTTGTGCAGGAGTGAGGGAAGGACTTGCAGGGTTGTGCAGGAGGAGGGAAGGAATTTGCAGTGTGTTGTGTGTAGAATTGAGGGAAGGACTTCTAGTATTGTGTGGGGGTGTGAGGGAAGGTCTTGCAGTGTTGTGTGATAAGGGAGGGAAGGTCTTGCAGGGCTGTTTAGACGAGGGAAGGACTTCTATTAGTGTGGAGGATTGAGGGATGGACTTCTAGTATTGTTTAGGAGTGAGGGAAGGACATGCGGTTGTGTAGGAGTGAGGAAAAGACGTGAAGTGATGTGTAGGAGTGAGGGAAGAACATGCTGTGTTGTGTAGGAGTAAGGAAAAGACGTGAAGTGATGTGTAGGAGTGAGGGAAGGACCTGCACGGTTGTGTAGAAATGAGAAAAGAACTTCTAGTAATGTGTGTAGGAGTGAGGGAAGGTCTTGCAGTGTTGTGTCGAAGTGAAAGAAGGAATTGCAGGATTGTGTAGGAGTGAGAAAAGGACTTCTAGTATTGTGTAGGAGTGAAAAGGTTTTGTAGTTTTGTGTAGGAGTGAGGGAAGTGCTTCTAGTATTGTGTAGAAGTGAGGGAAGGACTTGCAGGATTGTGTAGGAGTTAAGGAAGGACATGCATGGTTATGTAGGAGTGAGGAAAGGACTTGCAGGATTGTTTAGGAGTGAGGGAAGGACTTGGATGGTTGCATAAAAGTGAGGGAAGTACTTGTAGTAATGTGTAGGACTGAGGGTTGTGTAGGAGTAAGGAAGGACATGCAGGGTTGTGTAGGAGTGAGGGAAGGACTTGCAGGGTTGTAGGAGTTAAGGAAGACATGCAGGGTTGTGTAGGAGTGAGGGAAGGACTTCAGGGTTGTGTAGGTGTGGAGAGGGAAGGAAGGGCAGGGTTGTTTAGGAGTGAGGGAAGGACTTTCAGGGTTGTGTAGGAGTGAGGGAAGGACTTGCAATATTATGTAGGAGTGAGGGAAAGGTTTAGTATTGTGTAGAGTGGAGAGAAGGACTTGTAGTATTGTGTAGGAGGAAGGGAAGGACTTGCAGGATTGTGTAGAGTGAGGGAAGGACTTGCAGGGTTGTAGGAGTGAGGAAAGGACTTGTAGTATTGTGTAGAAGTGAGGGAAGGACTTTGCGGGTTGTGTAGGAAATATAAGAACATAAGATTTAATGGAAAATTGGTAGCGGGCTATTGACCCATGGTGGGCAGTCCTGAAAGAAGGACTTGTACTGTTGTGTAGAGGGAGGGAAGGAC